CAATCACGGGACGCCCTTGTCACGGATCGGCTCCACCGAGGGTCCCACTGGACCATGGAGAGTCCACACACCTAGCAGACAGTAATCTGCTTTGATACCACTTGTCACCTCCCAAAAGAGCTCTTAAGAGAGGTGGGCAGCCCAGGACTTAAATATTGTTTTTCGGCCCTACACCTAGCCGATGTGGGACTATTTGTCCGTGAAATTCTTCTCCACCCAATCACGTGACGCCCTCGTCACGGATCGACTCCACCGAGGATCCCACTGGACCATGGAGAGTCCACACACCTGGCAGGCAGTAATCTGCTCTGATACCACTTGTCACCTCCCAAAAGAGCTCTTAGCGGTGGTGGGCAGCCCAGGACTTAAATACTGCTTTTTCGGCTCTATATTTAGCCGATGTGAGACTATTGGTTCCGTTGCTTTCTTTAAGGACTCTAATTTGCTCAGTCACTCTTAACTCAGGTTAGTGATTTTTGTTTATTGTTGTTATTATTAATGGATTGTTTCTTTTGAGCCGTTTAGTGAGATACTGAGGCTTCAGTTTTCCAATGTAATTTAGATGGAGTTGTTTGTTTTTTGAAGTCTGAAGTTTAAGCTTGTTGTCTTTGTGGTTCCGTTCAAAACATAATATGTTGCACTTTGCTTGGGTAGATGCTTGAGTATTCAAGTACGGAACTCTTGGAACTTGCTTAATTACTCATTAGTATGAGAATTAGATGCTATGTTCTATTCGCGCCCATTTGGAGGTTGTTGATCATGACAAAGAAAATAGTAATTGAACTCACTACTACCTTACAAACCTTCTTAACTCTATCCTATAAATGCACATCACTATTTCAATATCCATGTACTTCTTATTTTACTAGTTATACTTTGACTGGACATTTATGTTGATTGCTACCAAAAATTATGTTTTCTTTTTTGGCATTTCTGGACCATACCATCAGAGATTTCTTTTTTCACCCCTTAATGTATTTTTTTGAGTTCATAATATCGTATCTTTGAAGGAATAAGTAACGTCATTTTTCCTTTGTTAGAAGTAAAAGAAAATTTAGCCTAAAATATTTGATTCGAGTTCCTCACTTTAAAGTTATTCCTATCCAAACTATTGTCTTGAGGGAATCATGCTCATTACTCAATTGATTATTTATTCATTACAAAGAGTTGAAGACAATGTTAATCGCATGTAGGATAAGCATATAAGTAGCAGCATGCATGTATTATTTTTACCACTAAATGAAAGCTGTTACCATTTTTTGGGAGGATGTTGGCCAAGTATCACCCAATAACAATATATATATATATATATATATATATATTCATCCAATTTTAGTTAGGTTTGTTGTCGTTGATTCTGGTAGACCTTCTAATTATATTGAATTTAAGTTTGTATGATTATTTTGTGGGAGAAGATCCACTTAATGTTCACCTTACATTGCCTTATGGTGTTATCAGTAAAATTAACTTGATAAATTGTTAATAAATTTATTCCACAAGCAAAACTTTCAGAATTGTGTTTTTCAACTAAACCATATTTCAAAACTGAACTGTGTTTATATAATGAAGCGTATTATAGTCATTATGTTAACATACAACACTTTCAGAACAGTGTTTTTCAAATAGATCAACTGTTTCTGAAACATCAACTTCTGAACAACAGATTTTCAATAGTAGCTTTTAAACTGAGTTTTCCTACAACCACAACCGAAACAAATGCACCCTAAGTCATGTAACTACTGGAGAGCAGATGACTGACTGCCTCACTAAAGGACTTAGCTCAGGAGAGTTAATGATTATGTGACAAGATGGACTTCGGGTTTGTTTGGGGCAGCTGCAGCTTATCCAGATAAGCAGTTTATCCAGATAAGTTGGTTAGTTGTTTAGTTTGTGTATTTAAAAATAGCTGATTTGCAGCTGTTTCTGGATAAATGATCATTCTGCCCCTATGCAGTGGTAATATTTTCAACAAAACTGTCATAATATATAGGGGTTCAGGTTTTACCATGAATTTTGGTATTTGAGTGAGAAGTTGAAAAATGGATGAACGATGGTGGTTAATTTGGTCAATGCAGTGATGAATAAAGTATGAAACATCAAGATGAACCAAATGATGATAAAGATGAACATGGTAATTTGGTCGATGTGAAGAAATGTCACTACAATCTAGAGCCTTTCCCTCCTAACAAGAACCAAACATATAATAGTGCTTTGGTCAATCCATGATTAATCAAGTACCACTCCTAATTTATATTATTAATATCTATCTATCTATATATATATATATATATATATATATATATATATATAGAATAAAACAGAGATCAATAGCTCTTGGGTAGCAGCCTGAGAGGAAAAGGAGAAGGACATAGGAGAAAGAAAGAAAATGGAGAGGAAAAAAAAGTAAGGGAAGAAAGCTATGTTTTGGAGTAATTGACTTCTCTTCCTCTTTCTAACAATTTGATTTAGGCAAAAAATTTTAGGCCTGGAAGATTTTTAGGAGAGAAAATTTTGAAATAATTTAGGGCTTGCCGGTTTCGGTCCTACGACGGGAAGCGATTGGAACGGCGACGGGAAGCGATTGGAATGGAGATGGGAACAGTGACGGGAAACGACGTGAACGATGACGCGGAACTTCGGCTGGGAACGAGAGATTATTGCGTGCGGACACCGCATGCATCTCTGCATGCGGGGTCCGATCCTGGCCGGCGGTCCCGGGGATCGATCTGCGGCCAGGATTATTTCTGTGTTTTTTTATTAAAAAAAAAAAATTTTGGTGGGGCCCACCGAAATACATCGGGACCGTAGATCAGGTGATCTACGGTCCGGATCGGGCACCGCACGGCCGGCGCGTGCGGGATCCGTATGGAATAATTTTTCGCTGGGAACGGCTGGCGTCGAGCGAGGAACGAAGGACAAGCAGTAAACGCCGTAGGTAAAAAGCGGGCCGCGGGGTCGATCCCGCGGTCGCGTTTATTAAAGAAAACCGATCGGCGTTTTAAGATACGCAGGTAAAAAAACAAAAAATCAAACACGTGAGTTGCGTTTTCAAAACGCAAACGCAGCGTATAAGCCGATGTTAGTGAATATCCTTCACCCACAAGGGAGTTTTTGAATAGAAGAAGTTTAGGGGTATGTTGCATGGCTCTATAAAGCCAAAATGTTTTTGAAATGAGTAAGTATAATCTCAAAATCATTCCAATTCACGCAACAATAACTGAACTAGGTTCACATCAAAGGAAGAAAACATTTCATACATTGAGGCCGACATTGAATATAATAAAAGCATAACCGTACTAACTGGCTTAAAAATTAATTCATTGGAAAATTTTAACTAGTTTATCATATACAACAAATTAAATATGTCGCAAAATGCCATAAAAATTATAAAATTTCTAGTTTCTCAAATACTTTCCAAACATTGCTTTCATGTCACTGATGCATTATTTAACATATTTTTTTTAATCAACTCTATATTTATTTCTACGAGTTAACAGTATTTGATGACTCCATTCATAATAATTTTTAGTTTTCATTTAAATAAATTCTTAGAAAAAGTTTTAGCATGTTTCTCTTGATATCCTTAGTTAAGCATCAGCAACTCCTCTCCATGTTTGGTGACCTTACACTTCCGCATCTATAGTTGACTTCCATCAAGGATTACCTTCCAATGCTTCTTCCATGAGATCAATTCGTTAGAAAAACATTATGAGGCAATTCCACACATACCACCCAACTTTATGCGTTTACATATCAAACACCTAAACTTTACTTTTTACATTTATACAATCCAAAATTTTCACATTACATAAAAAATATCACAATTTTAATTTTTAAAAGGTGAAATAACCTTTTCATGCATAAGCAAGCATGTATGTAAAAGTTAAAGCTTAGGTGTTAGATATGTAAATACATGAGAACTGAGATGTATATGAATGTAGATCTTCCGAACATCAATTATAAGACCTTCCAAAATTTTCAATTCTTTTCCTTTCCCCAAGATACTCATATGGCATTCATAAGCTACAACAATTTCAACCCTGACTACTCCCTTCAGTTTCGATTATTCATTATCCAGATAAAACACACAAGAAAGTATTCAATCTACTGATGTCTGTCAGTCACTTTTTAGAAATAAAATTTTGAAAGCTTGCAGGATTAATTAATTCAAGAAGGAGTTAATATATTTCTTACCTTGTTCAAAGGGACAGCGGGCAGGATCTTCACCGAAATAAAGGGCAAGACCATCAGCATTTATTCCCTGCCAACAATTTAAGTTGGGAAGAAAAGGGGGTTGTTTTCTATCTAATATTAGAAGCTACTCACAGCATAACTTAGTTTAAAAAATTATAGAAATCAACACCGTACCACAGCAGCAAAAAATGCTGTTAGAGATCGCACTTCAGCCCCAGCAACAGAAGTGAAGTCCTTCAATTTCTGAACATGTAGTCAAGTCATAGTTACAAAAAAGATCCTAAAGATGGGAAGCAAAGATTGCTCCAACTCAAATATGGCTTACCTGAATCTAATTGAAATCAATTCAAAATCATCTCTTTTACATACATACATGCACACATACATATATAAATATATAAATGAAACCTTAGCCATACATTACTAAAATTAAATCTCCAAATTCATTTCTTTAATGATCGTTTTATATCAATTTTAACCTTTAAAATTCCTAACCGATATATAAGATTTATCCAACTTTCTCTTCTCATTTAAATTCATAATTAATTTTTGTTCATTTGATGTCAGATTCTTTCTCAACTCTCCCCATTTGTTTATAAAGTTATTGCATCTCCAGCCATTTTAAAATTAAACAACAAAATCTGAAAGTAGATAGATTTGTGGGATTTAAGCCCTCATTCTCCAGTGCAACTTCTTCCACATTCATTCATTCTTGTTCTTAATAATCTCTTTTTGGGCTCCAAAAGACCACGCTCCACCCTTTCTTAAGATAAAGGATGAGATAGTTTTACGTGAAGTTTCGGGTCAAATTTTCATATGTTAAATGAGATTGTAGATAAGATAATGCCTAGAGATTTTGTCCATATTTTATGAAGACTATAAGATCTAAAGTTTGAGATTTCCCATGATCGCAAGCCCCTATGGTTAATTATCATTCTCGATAATGAAAAAATACTTTTGATTAAAACTAATCATTAGGTGTTAAGTGATTAGCCTTAGTATGTAGGAGTGGCAAATATTGGCTTTGATATATGAAATTTATCAATTTGAGCCTCAGAGCGGAAGGTGGGGAGAATGATAACTTACTTTATTAGAGGAGATAGTCAACCCAACCTGATTAAATAATTTTTATCAGTAATCACTGAATGATTCATCTAGGGGAACCTTGAAGGCCTAGGGGTACATATTTGCCTTAGGGGATAAATTGAAGTTGACTTTAGCTAACATGGTGTTTAGGGCCCTATCAAACATACCTTATTGTTGTGAGATATGTACTTCTTGGCATAAAAATGAGACGCAAAGAACACAAGCAAACACAGATCATTTACGTGGTTCGATCCAACTGGATCTACGTCCACGGGAGGGAATCAATCAAATAGTTCACTAAGGCAAAAGAAATGGAGAATACATAGCTTATACATAGAGATGAGCCCTCATCTTGCTTCTATGGCCTCCCTCTCAAGCGACACCTTGATACAAGTCCTCAAGATGCTCTCCTCCTCTCTAGCTCTTTAGTTATTCTCTCCTCCTTTGTGGTAGCTTAAGATTTCTTCCCTTGCTCTCCTAAGCCTCACACCCTCTCTATTTATAGAAGCAAGGGAGCGGTAGGTGGAAGGTAGATGAGCGGTAGATGAGCGGTACTACATTACAAAAGTGTCCTTTTACCTTAGTTCAACAATTGAGGGTCAAAATAACAATTCTCCACCTTGACCCTCAATTGAGAAGCTTCAAAGTAAAGATTCCCTCCACTTGGCCCCTGAGGTTGGCCCCTGAGGGGCGCCCTTGCTTGAGTCTGCTAAGTCCAAACAGTACATGGACTTAGCAATCACGGTTCTTTCGATAAGAGAGTACAGCCCCTTTTTCCTGACTCCTTGTATGACGACACGAGGGCTTTTGGTTACTCTGATGCAGTCATTCTCTGCGTTGAACGAGCATCCGCTTGACTCCAGCGTACCTAAAGAAATCAGATTTCTTTTGAGCTCTGGTACGTACCTGACATTTTTCAATACTCGTTCAGTTTCATCAAACATCCTTATCCTGATTGATCTACTTCCAACAACACTGTAAGCTTTATTGTCTCCCAGTAGAACAAACCCATCATTTTCAGTTGCAGTGTCTCGAACCAGCCTTTGTGAGGACACATGTGGAAAGAACACCCTGAGTCGAGGATTCACTCCTTATTGGATTCAGATTCTGTAATCACCAGGGCCCCAGCAGAATCATAGTCATCAGAGGCTATGCTTGCTTCTTCTGATTCTTTTAGCTCTTCTTGGTACTTATTCTTCATGTCTGGGCAGTTCCTCTTGAAATGACATTCCTTGTGACAATGATAGCACTTGAAAGAACCTCTTGATGACTGATTCCCGCCATCCTTGCTTAACCTTGATATGTACTGACCATTTCTTGAATCTTTCCTGTCTGATCTTCCTCTAACAATAAGACTATCTTCGCTGACTTCCTTGTCCCTGTCATGCTTCCTCTGAAGTTCTTTGCTCTAATCAGAGATTGAACCTCCTCCAGAGTAATAGTCTGCACCCTTCCATAGAGCATTGCATCCTTGAAATGCTCGTAGCTCTTAGGAATAGATTTTAGCAATAGTAGTGTCTTGTCCTCATCGTCCATCTTGACGTCGATGTTCTCAAGATCCTCGATGATCTTGTTAAACTCGTCAATCTGCTCTGAAACGGATTTGTCTTCATGCATTTTGAAGGAGTATAGGCGCTGCTTCCGAAAGAGCCTATTAGCGTAGCGAGAGACTTTGTCAGGTACAGTACCTCGAGTTTGGCCCAAAGTGCTTGAGCCGTTGTCTCCCTTGACACCTCCCTCAGAACTTTGTCGCCCAAGCTCAGGATTATCAAACTGTGGGCCTTGTCCAGTATGCCGATCTTCTCCTTCTCAGTCATGTCGGTCGGCAATGCCGCCGACCCTTGCAAGGCTTCTGCAACACCCTGCTGTACCAATAGAGCTCTCATCTTTACTCTCCATAGGCCGAAGTTGTTCTTCCCATTGAATTTCTCAATGTCGAATTTGACGGAACTCATTGTCGTGGCTAGGATTTCTTCTAATGAATTCTACCTGCTGCCCTTCCAAGAACTAGACTGAAATCACCAAAATGTTGTACTATTATATAGCAACCAAAAGTTTTCAGTCTAAACCTGCCTTTTAACGCCTTGTTGTCCAAGTAATTATCACCAAATTTCTTACCTTCTCCCCGTAAACTCCATTGCTTTCGCCAACCGAACGCGCATTCGCCAACCGAACGGAAAACTCTGATCCCTTCTAGCAGAGATCACACCTGTTCACCGGAGAAAACTTCCTATTTTGTGCTCGCGCCTCCTTCCCGCAGGCACTCCTTTGCGTCCAGCGGAACAAATCAGGAATTCCTCATCTGCTTCTCGCACGAGAATAACTGCCTCTCCAGAGCCGTCGCGCCTCGCCAAACTGCTCCGGTCCTTCTGCTTCGCGAACTCCCGAACCCTTCTCTGCGCGATCTCCGCCTCTTCCCTCTGGTCGAGTTGCTCGCAAGACCGAACTCCTACTCCGAAATCCTCTGTTGGTAGCCCTGTCGCAAATTTTCGGCCCTCGCTCGCGGACTGTTCCTCCTTTGTCTCGCCGAACCGCACAACCTGCGATGCGAATCCAATCGATCAAAGCTTCCAGTGCTCACTGAATCTGTCACGATTTGGCTGCCTGCGACGCGATCCGCTTGCTCCTCTGTTCGTGAAAGGCGAACAGTCGAACATCTCTTCTTCGTCACTGGCCACGAACACCTTTACGCGGACACCTCTAACTAAGAAGTATAGAGCTTCCCACAGACGGTGCCAATGTTTGTGAGATATGTACTTCCTGACATAGAAATGAGACGCAAAGAACACAAACAAACACAGATCGTTTACGTGGTTCGATCCAACTGGATCTACGTCCACGGGAGGAAATCAATCAAATAGTTCACTAAGGCAAAAGAAATGGAGAATACATAGCTTATACATAGAGATGAGCCCTCATCTTCCTTCTATGGCCTCCCTCTCAAGCGACACCTTGATACAAGGCCTCAAGAAGCTCTCCTCTTCTCTAGCTCTTTAGTTATTCTCTCCTCCTTTGTGGTAGCTTAAGATTTCTTCCCTTGCTCTCCTAAGCCTCACACCCTCTCTATTTATAGAAGCAAGAGAGTGGTAGGGGGGGGATAGGGGAGCGGGAGAGCGGTAGGTGAGATGTGGTAGGTGAGCGGTACCACATTACAAAAGTGCTCTTTTACCTTAATTCAATAATTGGGAGTCAAAATAACACTTATGATTCACAACTCGAAGGGGTTAAAGTTATTGGGAAAAATATAGAATATAGCAGTGCCTACAATATAGTAGAACATATTGGCCAAACCACCGAGTAGAGGACTTCAGTTGTAATCGCTTTTTTGTGGAACCGATTGACCAAATTGCATGGTAGAAAACTCGAGTCACATCTTTACTGGCCTGGGATTATTTTAAGTATGAATGCAATAATATAATTAATACAATAATAGCTCTATGTGAGCCTAGGTTAATGTTGAATTTGTCAACCTCAACAAATTGATGTGGATGGTTGACGAGCTTTGCTCATTAGCTTTAGGTGATAGAATTTCACATGAATATTTTTATATTTTATAAATTGAAAACTTGATTTTGAATAGATGCACCAATGACTTGGGATATAGATTTATCATTAAAGGGAGAGGAAGAAAATAGGATAGTCAAAGATTAACAAGGCTAGAAGTTATCCAAGGAGATATAAGAAAAATAGAATTAGTACCACATACAATAGTCAACAAGAATGAACTAATAAAAAGAATCCAAAGAATTATAGCGGCATTAAGCAAATGACTATGATGATGATGAATTATCTAGATTTTGTATTTGGCAGTTACACAACAAAAAAGAATCAATGGATTTTGAAGAAAAAGTACTAATGATTATCATCGATGTGCCGTGTGTGAAGGTGCACGTACATGCACACTAACAAGAACTTATACAAACATAACATGATGCTAACAAGAACTAAATAATGATAACTAGCATAAAAGAAATACTAAAATAACAAGTAGAAATTAATACGTAACTTTCACATCAAGTTAATGATACCTTGCAAAAAACCTCTGATACGATCCCATCATTTCCTGAAGCCGTCAGCTCCATCTCAACCTTCGCTAGTCCTTTGACCAAACCTTGTTGTTCTTCAGCTAAAGCCTTTAGTTGTATCTGTGAGAGCAATAAATCAGACAAAATCTCAAACATTAAAATTAATGATAAAGGGCGTGCAAGGCTAAAATAAAAAAGAACCTTTGATGCTGCTTCTAGGCTGATCAAATCTTCATGAAAATCAATTAGATGTGGTGACTTCGAATCAATGACCTGATACTCGTGGTAAATTTAGATTAGTTAACAAAAAATAATGGCAGGTGATCACGAAGATGTAGAAAAGCAAAATATCACACTAAGAAAAACACTCAAATAATTGAGTTATCAGCATTATGTAATAAAATGAGACTTCTATTGCAATAAGATTTTGAGGAACATTTTCTGTCAGAGAATGTTCACCACAAAATTCTCAAATGTTGGAGACATTTTTAAAGAATGCTTTGACATTGTTCAAAATCACCTTCACAAATTATGAAAAAAATAATAATATTGAAAATTTCCAACCCAGTTCAAATATACGAGATGGACATTTCTCCTCCTAAAGAAGATTTACATAAGCAGGTTAACTAAAACAAATTGACGTCGACCACCGCGGGTTAACCTTGGCTCCTGTTGCCCTTCGGCCAATTCCAAATGCCGTCGCCACCTTCTTGAAAACTCTAGCCGTCACTACCACCCTCCAGCCAGCTTAGGACCCCGTCATGTCAGGCCAACTGTGACTGCCATCGCCACAGGCACCTCCGACCAGCCATCCTGGTGCTGCATGATCCCTCACGACCAAATTCCTTCAAATCAGTCATCTCTAAGACTGAACCTTACCCCGTCATCTCGTTCTGTAAACTTTCGCTTGTTCTAGCCTGGACTCCGGGCGTAGCTCTATGTGCGGACTCCAAGCTGCATGTGTCGAAAATGTTTTTTCGGGGTTATTTAAAGGGAATTGAGAGATTATTTCGTGGTTATTGAAGAGAAAACTAAATATTACACTTCAATAATTCTGAAATAACACCGTGGAGGTTATTTCGGGGTTATTAAAGTAAAATATATGGATTTGTCTTCAATAACCTTGAAATAACATCCACGGTGTTATTTCGTGAAATATGTGTTTCTCTTCAATAACACCGAAATAATTTTCACGGTTCCACTTCAAAAACTCGAAATAACCTTGAAATAATCTCTGTGATGTAGCATACGTGGCGACATATTATTGTATTCCACGCGTAAAGCTACGTTAGGAGTCCAGATAGAAAATTTTCCACTCCGAATGTCCCTGTGATTCCTTTAGGGTGTTGCGCTTGAGTCTGCTTCCAACCTTTTCTCTTGATCCTATAGCCCCATATCTGCCTAAGCCAGTGACCTTGCCCCTTATGTAACATTGATGTCGTGTGAACCATTTCGATTGCTACAGCTCGATTCTGTTGCACATGTCCTCACTCAATCTAGGGGCGGGTGACACGACCGCGTAGGAAACTCCGCGATCTTTTTTATCTTTTATTTCAGGGCCACTAATCACTCTCCATGGATGAGAATCACCCCTTTATGGGCCAAAAAAACTCCTCCAATCCCGATTTGATTTGACTCATATATCCTTCTAATTTCTCCTCCAAAGCATCGACTTTCTTAGCCATCATTACCCTAAGGTACGGCTCTGATACCAATTTGGTAGGAACATGACAAGTTTACATAGAGATTAGGGCAAAATAAAATGTTTTACTCCTCCTGCACAAAACAATAAGATCCCAAATGCATAAAAGATAAACCTACAAATCGAGAAGTAGATAGACCTTAACTCTTAAAATTCAAGGCTACCACCACATATCTTAACATTAATCATATTAAGCCCTAGTTATACCGAACAATAGAACTAATAAATGGCTAAATTACCCTTTTAGTGTTCTGCCTAAAATAAGCCTTAAAATTATTTAGCAGGCCAGCAAGAGTTCAGTGAGACCACTCGACTTAGTAGAGCATGAGGCAAAAGGCAACGTAGGCGCCAGCTCATCTAATTAAAAAAACTTCTTCACCTGGTTAAATAGGTTGCCCCCTCTTTCTCAAAGATGTTTCCAATACACGCCTTCTCTCTCTCTCTCTCTCTCTCTCTCTCTGATCCTCTATATATATCTACATATATCAGCACCCCTTCACTCTTGCTCCTTGACCATTATCCAATCTTTTAATAGATGTAAGGGATGCTGATAATGGTTTTACATCAATTTACCTTTTATCATTTTAATAAGATACTTATTCTCCCTTTTTATACTTAATTACACTAAAATTATATGATGTAATTTAAGTTTTGTGTAAATGTATTTGTTAAACTTGATCTCTTTACGCGAATTAAGAACACGAAGTTCACTTATTTGAACAAAATAAGAAGTTCTATCAATCAGAAGAAAGGTTTATCTTGCAATAGGCACGTTCTTGTCGCCATACCTTAATTTTGTTGATCTAATTTCTTTTAATTGCTTAAGTTTTATCTGGTTGTTTTATTATTAGAGCCTTCCAAAGCCCAGCTCAATGTATTTCTCTATTTTCCTAGTAATTTTTTTAAATAAAAATATTGCTTTTTCTTAAATAACAGCTTAATTTTATATTAAATAAAAACATTGCATTGCATATCTGTCATATATTTAATTACTTGCAATTTATTTATAGTAAATTTTCATACATATTATTAACTAAGGTAACAAATATTTCTGATTCCATTATCAACATTAGCCGTATTCTAATTCTTTGGGATATGTTTGTGTTTTATACATTCAGTGCAAAAATAGTACTTCAGAAAGGCTGTGCGTAAATTTGTAAAAAAATTATGTAGTTTGTTTTAGTATAGAATATAGTGTGAGGTTAAATACGCTTTTAGAGTCAAGAAGAAAATAACAAATAGCAACTAATCATGAGTAAACTTTCCACCGCCAGATAACAGAAACAGGATAAGTGCAACAATTTCAAAAAAATACCAAAGAGAAAATAACCATAGCGACACAAACACAAAGCCATACCTTACATAGATAATGCATAAGAGTCATCTTGTTGTCAACAGCACGAGTATCTGTTAGCTTGAGAAGGCTATCTAGTCGGAAACCAACAGCAGCGCCTATAGAAATTGAGACACCATTAATACTTATTTTGAGGAGATAGCATGACGTTAGCTATGTGGGGCATAATAGCAAAATAACCGAAAAAAAAAAATACATTACGAGTACAAAATACAAAATAATATCTAAAGATATCTAGAAAGGCTGAATAGGATAGCTTAAAAATTCAGTATACAAATTTATGGAGCAACTCATGAAAATAAATAAATAAATAAATCTTCAATTGCAATACTAAATAAATAAGCAGTATGATATGAGATGAATAGCCAAACTTCAGCAAATGTTTAAAAGTTGCACCTGTTCGAGATGAACCAGGGAGCATTGCAAACCACTTATGGCACCTATATTTATAAGTGCACTTCACGTGCAAAGCAAGGCAAAGCGCTTGATGCCTACTTCACTTTGCTAAAGCGCGCTTCGAAGCGTTGAAACTAATCGGCCTGTTTATGGTTTAAAGAGAGTAAATAAAGGCTTCTATTCGGTGTTCAAAAGAGTGCAAGAAGCAGACGGTCGTGTTTAAGAGTTCAAGGAGCACAAGGGAGCCGAGCATCGTCATCGACTATGGCCCATATTTCAAAGCACACTTTAAACATTGCGGTCTTCCTACAATTTTGGCCTAGACTTCAATTTAGAAAATCATGCCTCTCAATTCTTATGTATTTACATATCTAACACCTACAAAATGTGAAATGAATTTATTCATGAAAGGGTTGGTGTAGGTAACAAGATTAGAGAGAGTCGTCTTAGTTGGTTTGTTCACATTAAATGTCGAGCATCTGATGATCCGGTTAGGAGGGTAAATGTTTTAGATTTGACTTATGTTAAGAAAGACAGAGGTAGACCTAAAAAAACTTGGGCATGTTCTATCAAAAATGATCTTAATCTATTAGAATTAAATAAAAATAAAACACTTAATCGAACACAATGGAGAAAAAGGATTCATGTAGCCGACCCCACTTAGTGAGATAAAGGCTTGTTGTTGTTGTTGTATATTTTGATGTTAAACATGTAAATACATAGGAATTGGGGGGATATGTATGTAAATGCTCCTTTTTTAGGCAACGAGGATGAACAAAAAAAGATAGGTTTTTAGAGCAAATTTTAATTAATAACAAAATATTTTATTTCCATTTTTTAATTTTCAAAAGAAATAAACATTCTCTCTCAATGTTTGTCTTCAAGTTAGATATTGTACTATATTCTTTCTATTTTATATTTTATAATTGTTCATGAATGTACTTATACATTAATAGTCTTACATAATATATTAGTGTTTTGATTAATAAAAGTGTCGCTTCACTCTGCGATTTGCGCTTAGAAGCAAAAATAAAGTCTTTCGCATCTTATTCATTTTGTACTTTGGTAAAACTGCTCGTGACATCAATTTGCTAGAAGTTCCGCAAAACCTTGAATGATGAGTGTTGTTAAAAGCTTAAGGCAAGTTCAGCATCACTTTGTTTTCTTTTTTGTTTTTTTATTTTTTCATTTATTTTTGAAATATGTTTGATTGATGTAATTTTTATGTCTTCAAAAATAAATCAACTGTATTTAAAAACACACACCTACAAGATTTTGAGTGTTTTTAAAAATAATTAACTCAATCAAACATATTTTAATTTAAATTAAAACATAAATAAAATACAATAAAATTAAATAATAAAAGTATTCCTAAACAGCCCAATAATGAGCACACACTTTTGAAGAAATGATATTTTATCCAAAGAGCCTTGATTAGCAACTTTGTGCTTTGAGGCGGTTAAGAATGTATTTTGCTTGAATAAAGTTAAGTGCTCCAAGCATCCTGTTATACAGGTTATTTTTATAATAGAGAGATTATTTTTAAATCATTTATTATTTGCTTGGTCTATTATTTGCTTGATCATTTTGATCATATGGCTGCCTCATTAACAAATCTGGAGTGATTTTTATATTTCACGAAAGTACAACCGCCAAATTCTTCTATTAACAAAATTTATAACACATCTTGAATATAGATCTCTCACTTTCTTCATTTTTGTAATCAGATTATCCTGTAACTTCTTAAATATTTATATTTTTTTATCATAATTTGGGAAACTAGCTATTTTAAACAGTGCTATTAATTATAATGTATGCACATTGTCTTTATAGCTCTTGCAATGATAATATCACCATCATATTATACATGCATATGCGCCACCCACTCCCCCTCTCCCTCTCCCTATTTCTTTTGACACGAATCAGACATGACACTCAGATGAACATGACTCAATTGGGAAAAACATGTGCCGGACCTGATTGCTCGAGCAGTTCGAGTAGAACCTGAACCAATCTGACTAACCAAAGTTACATAAATTTTCAACGAATTAGTATATGTAACTATATCTAGAATGTGCTCAGTTAATTAAAGTGCCACTTCGGTTTCAGCTTTGAGCCAAGAATTAATAAAACAAAATTCGATGGTAAGCACTTTTTTATTAATACTTTTTGTTGCAATGCTTCATTAGTAATACTTCAATAGTAGCTTTGATGTTATGAACTCTCAAATTTAGTTTGCCAAATTAAATCATGCTTATGTTAGTGTCTATGGGAACATGATATATTCCAAATGTTCTAAGTCCCGATGTCCATTTCAATTTATTTGTGTTTGTTCAAGTCATGGTTGTTTGGTTATGTAACTATTGGGTTTGCTATTTGATCAAATTCAGTTACTTCAGACTCATAGCTAAATAAAGTTTAAACTTATGCTACCTGTTGGTGAGGGATTTACATGATTTAGCTCCTCACGTTTTATCTATAAATTTGCAATGTTTATAGAATTAGAGTATCACAAATATGCTGTGTTAGAATGTCGATTTCCAATCATGAATATCTTGTTTAATCCTGTGATGAAATCAATCTTTTTTCGCCAATATTTATTGACTGTGCTTATCTGCTGCATTGAAAAATTTGAGAATTATAAATGTGGGAAGATGAAACATATGATGCAAATAAAATAGATTCTTTTTATCAATCGAATATCTTCACAAAAAATTTGTTTGATAAAATTTTAACTTCATTTCAAACTTGCATCATTGATGAATTCTTGAGTGTGGTGTTGACTGTCAATTTTCAAGGATGACTGGATTTCCAAAGGAGGTTAATTTCCATTTTTATATTTTCTTCTGCTACGAAGTGATTGGTTTTGTGAACACAATACAAACTTGATTTATGACAGCAATGTGAATCTTGATCATTGTGGGCTTTCATTGATCCAACATTTTAAAGCTAAATATTAATTTGGGCAATCATTGAATTATTGATTGGGTGAATTCTTCGTATTTTTCTATTTTTACTGAGAAAGACAAGTTTTAGTATAAATAAAAAACAGTGAACTGTGAATCGTTTCACGTGAGTGATTTTATTTATCTCATTTTAAGTTTCATTAGAAAAATCTTAAATCTTAAGAGATCCTACATCAACAAATTGAAACAATTCAGAGTTGATAGTGATTTGCTGATGATACCAAGTTCCATGACCTATATATTAACTTTTAACATTGTCATAGAATGGTCAAAATATCCATATACAAAAGTCACTGAACAAACGACTTAAGTTAAGCAAGGATTTTGATTATTGTAACATCATGATAGAAAAAGAACAATTTCTATAGTCCATTAAACATACTTTAATATAATAAAAAACCATCCTACTAGGTTCTCATTTCATCTAATTACTTAGTCCTTATAGAAATCACAATTCTCCAATAATTTGTCCCATGTGATATTCAAGTCAAAATGCCTTCTTATTTCCTATTCCAAAGGTTTCATATGTCGAAAAGAGTAATAGATAGAAACAGTCAATTGAATTGAATAATTATAAAAATACGCAATTTTAGAAATGCAAACTTTACATCTGAACATAAGAAAGATATAGACCGAATAGTGTTTCATAACTACTAAATCCAAACACAGTGTGATAATGGAGGAGGAAGCCCAAACCTCAAAAAAAAAACATAAAATTATTGTTAAACTGAAAGAGCTTACAAACACGAAACTTGGAAAGCGGGAAATAACGACAAAAAAAACACAACCAACATAAATAACAGACGGTGCTATGAGAGGGCCGTGGAGGCAGCGACAACAGGAGAGGACTGCAATGGTCGGAGGAGTGCTAGACAGCTGCAGAGAAAGAGTAGGAGGGGCTGCGGTGCTTGATGAGGGCAAGCAGTTGATTGGTAGTGGAAAGGGAGGAGCGGCAGTGACTGTAATGATGGAACGACAACAGTAAAATGGACGTATGGTAGGATAAATGTCTCATCAGGGTAAAGCTATAGCCAAAGCACCACTGAACTCTTGGAGACGGTTGCTACCTAGGACAAGGGTTAGCGAAAGCACTTCCCTGCCTTCGGATACAGCTGTCAGAGGGGAAAACAGAATGTCGGTGGCTATCCAAACAAAACACTGAATTCTTAAGCAACAAAAGACCTCCTCCCCTAAGCAAAACAACCCTTGTACATAAAAAGGATTAGGAATTAATTAGGCAATGGTTTTAATTAAGAAATAGAATATAATAGGCAAGGATTTTTAATAAACAATGTTTTAAAATAAGGAAGAGAATAGAAATAATAAGAATTCATAATTTAGGCAATGTTTATGATAGGAAGAATTCATAATAGGCAAAGACTAATAAAATAATAGAAATTCAGAATTGGCAAATTTTAGGAAGGAAAGATGGGAAAAGGAAAGAGGGAATAATAGGAAAGGAAAGGAGGTAAAGGAAGAAGGGGAAAGGGGAGTTGGCAACCCTCCCCCTTTGAGGATCAATTGGTTCCTCTCCAAAGCCCTGCGTCAGGCTCACGCGATAAAGAGTGTTTCGACCTCATTTGTTGAAGCTACAGGATCCTCTCAAGTATAGTGTCAGATCTACGACATTGTACATGGTTGAAATGTTGCAGTCCCCTGATAGGTCAATCTTGTAGGCGCGTCATTCCAAAGTGCATTTTGGTAGAATAGGTATCCGCCCACCTTTGGCATGCCCTGAGTTGAAACTGTAGGTAGACAAGTATTCTAACAACTCAGGTATCGAGTCATTCCAAGGGTAACCTGCCGCTTCCATTCCTTGCAATCGGCTGAGTGCAAATGAGGAACTGGTATAGAAGGAGAGATCAATGTGGGGTGAAATTTGTGGTAGGTTTCATCCCACTCACTAACACCTCCTCAGAAGAGACCTCCTCTTTACTGATAAAATTTGGATCCCATTGAAAAATTTTCTTCCCCATCAACCTCCTAGGGCCATTACAAAGTTGAGATTCACCTCTTCTGTCAGGACTTCTGACAATGGGTACCATGTTGGACTGAAAAAAACCTATGAATAATCCCTTGTAATATTTCCAACATAACACAAAATGGCCCCACTTCTAGCATGTTAGAACTCTCTCCATAAGGGTAACTCAAGAAGGGGTTTATACATCTGAAAAATTTGCAATCCTCTGATCTGTGGTGGTCCTATATTGGTGATCGATTCGTCAAACTCATGCCCTTTCTGGATATCCCAAGTTAGTTTTGCTGATGTTCCTCTCGCTGTTTGTGAAACAGTAGCTCGAGGTACTACCACTTCATCCTCTGCATGAATGCCTATTACATCAAGGTCACTACCTTTCCGAACGACTACAGTTACTTTAGCTGGAATCTCTATCTCAGGGTCAACTGGTATTAGTTGCGTCTCTTCCTTGTTGGCTGACAATTGTGGATCCTCTATGAAGTCTCATCTCTTTTTGGATCTATGTTTATCTCTTAAACTGGAAGTTTGTTCTCGTTTATGTCATCACCAAAGTGTTTGCGGTGTCGCTACCTAATTTTTCGATGACGCTTTGCTCGGTGAAGTAGATCACTCTCTTGGTTGTGCATTCTGCTTCAACATGTCCAAAGCCGTGACACTTACAACATTTTTTTACTGTGACAGTTTTGCGGATTGGTTTCGCTGGATAGTAGCAAGAGGAGTCGCTTGGTGATGCAGTCTCTCCACTTCGGAAGCTAGAGTCTGCAACTTTTGGATCACGGTAGAGGGAGCCTTCCATTGGATTTCATCTTCTATGTCTGTATTCTACCGTCGAAGTTCGGCAGATTTCTCACTGCATCTCCTCTCGGGAAGGCTCGGGCATGTATCTAAATGGTGGCATGTAGGAATAGAAAAAAAAAATTAGTGGAGGTGAAGGAAGGTAAAAAAATAATTGGGTCAAGTTTGCCGATTTTAAAAATTAGCGAGGGGAATTAGGCTTAGGAACATGTGGTGGTGGAATGGGTATTGTGTGGTATGAAGGAAATTTTGTGGGTTATGGCGAACGCTAGAAAAAGCTATGATAGAACTAGGTTGGGCTAGCTCTGATACCAAATGATATCGAAGGAGGAAGCCCAAACCACAAAGAAACAATATTATTGTTAAACTGAAAAAGCGTACAAACAGGACACTTGGAAAATAGTAAATACTGATAAACACAAACATAAACAATAAAAGATATACTGAAAAAGGCCGATCTCATGACAAACACATTTTTCCAGTAAAATCTGTGTAAACAAAATTGCAAATGCCTAGAGGGAAGAAAATAACTGGAACTCACTTATAGATCTCAAAATACAAGTCACTGATGCTAAAAAGTAAATATAAACAACATGAGAGGATATAAAAAAGAACAGTCATAACCTACCTCTTGCAGTTCCTTGATTAAGAGTGTTCCCGAGAGACAGAATTTTCTTCATTATATCCTTTAGCTTGATAGAGTTTCGAATCTGAAAGGATATGCAGAAATTACTTCCACCATAATAAATGCAATAATGCAAATATATAAATATGTGGTAGTCAGGGCAGACCTCTTCACATACCGAATCTACAGTGTATAAGCTCTTTCTAATATCTGCTGTCTGGGAAAAAAAAAAGGGTAAGGTGAAAAATCTAAAGTTCATTGCAAGGATATTTTCTTTAGACAAAGAGAAAGGAATTGATAAAAAACCTGTGCATTAAACTGAATCTTGAAACAAAAGACCCTTAACTTGGCTTCTACACGAGGAACCTTCATTAACTCCAGAAAGAACTGCCTTGATAAAAGTTTTTTTTTTTTAATTTATTTAAATGTTGTCATAGCAGAAAGGTAGAAAACAGAAATTTTCTAAATCAAATATGAACTTCCATATAAACTTCATATCCAACCAAAAACATATAACTCCTGGTCCAAATCCCCATAAAAATAGATACATGATATGTGTTGGTATTTCTTCAATTGTAAATTTCTAAGATCATGCAAACATCCAAGACCATATTAATATAATGGCATGTAATTTTCTCCTCTAAAGAGGAGAAAGCTCGCTCCTCTGAAAACTTTTGCAGGCCTAAGAACACTTCAACACAAAAATTGTAGTGAAAAACATTAAACACTTTTTTGAAAAAAAAGCCTTGTAAAGAGAAAATTCAAGTTGCCCTAGTTGACAGCGTGAGATATAAGGAAAAAGATTAAACATTTTCACAAATGAGCTCAAGCAAAATTTTGTGTTGTGAGCTCCAAAAACTGACTGCTCCCTGGGGATTCTCTGCAAATTTTTTTATTTTTGTTGAGTTAAGAGAGCTTTGGGGGGTCAAATTTTCAGAAAGCAGATTGAATTGTAGATAAGACACTATCCAGAGATTTCGTCCTCATTTAGCGAGGACTTTTTTATCTGCGGTTCAAAGTTTCCCATAGGCACAAGTCTCTATGGTTAATTACACTTCCCAATAATTGAGAGCACTTTTGATTAAGACTAATCATTAAGAATTGAATGTTAAACATACAATAGCAGCAGACTTAAAAACTTAAATTATAAAATTCATCACTTGAAGTTTAAAGCGGATAATGAAGGAATGAAGATAAAACGCGATCAAGATCTCTTGGTTCCGTCATCTGGTGTTGTCATGGTCTCTGATCTACTTAGTCAGAGAAGATAGTCGACCCAACTTGGCAGAATAATTCTTGTCAGCAGCCATGGATTGCGTTCCAAGAAATCCTTATAGATTTGGGGTGGATATTTGTCTAACGGGACATATGTCAACCTCTAACAAAATGCTTTGTGTCAATCAATTTTAACATTATAAATCGCAACTCAATGAGTAGAAAGTCGTTGGGGAACATACGGGTTGCGGCCGTGACAGTAATGTAATGGTGTCATTTGGCGACAACTACCCGGTCACAGGGCTCTGATTGTAATCGTTATTTTGTGGTGTCATTTGGTAGCAAAAACACGCGGACAAAGGATTCTGGCCATATATTTACTGGCATGCAATTATTTCGATTGTGAATATAGAGATGTATTTGATATGACATTCACCATTTGTGAGCTGAAGTCAATAAAAAATTTGTCACCCTCGATAAACTATTGAGGAAAGCAGATGAATTTTACTTTTATCTTTTAAATAATTGAATTTTAACTAGAATTTCAGTATTTGAAGAGGGGACATTTTGTTTTGTTAATTTAGACTTTTGGGGTATGGTCCTATCCTTATAATGAAGAGGATCAAACTAAGTGATTTGAACTTGTAAATTCTTATTTTAGGATTTGGACGTTTATTTCAAAATTAATAGACTCGTCAACTCCAGTCCTTACGAAGAAGAAGATCAGACTAGTTGGGTGGGTATTACAACTCTGCTCAATAGACAAGGCGGTCCGATCAGCTCGCGCAACATTCTCGAACCTAGTATTTGAATTTATATATTAGTTAGAGCACATGCAGGCATTTGACTATATAAGTTAGCACACTTTTAAAGATTTTGCATACTTTGAGTGACTTAGAAGCTAATTTAAAATATGTTTTTGAGAGACAATTTATTCATAAAGAGGCACATGCAGCAATTTGAAATCATGCATAGTTGATTTATTGCGAGTATCCAAACTTTAACTCATGCAAGTTCAAAAAGACTTAATGTTGCATTCCGTATTTGATTTAGAAAATACTCTTAAAGTTTGCATTTAACTCACATAATACCGAGCCCGTGTGTATCACATATGCATATCACAAAAAAAAACCGTATAAAAGAGCCTAAAAAATCATAGCACTGAAAAAGGAGACGAATTTGGTTGTCTTCATAGGGATTTCAGATGTGATAAGAACCAATAGTGGCATATAAATCATGAATAAGAACCCTTAAGGTCAAATGTCTCATCATATACCTCCAAAACCCACCCAAAAAAATGCAATATTTAGATCATGTTTAGTACCCATGGTTGCCTCATCAGACATCCAAGTGGGAAAGAATACATGCAAAAGGAAAATAAATATATATAACTTGTATAAAATACTAATACAATAAACATTAAATGCATAAGAAAAAAATATGCATGACTTGCATAAAATATTGATACAACAAATAGTAAATGTTTTCAACACACCTTACAAATAAAATAGCAATAAAAAATAGTCATTTCATCCATTAAACCTCTAACTATAGCAACCATAATTCATTCCCTCAACTGTACCATCTCACTTGCACATTCCTCATTTTGAGTGCAAGTCTCGGGCACATCAATTTTGTCATATGACAAAGATTGTCCAAGATGATATTTATTTGCCTCGACAGGGACACGTGAATGACCTTCATCAACCCTATTAAAGTCAATATTATTGCGGCAAATATGCTGCCAAATATATTTATGGAGAGTCACAATCTGCACTTATTTGAGAAACAGACATGTAAGCTTATCGAGCAGTATGACCTATTTTTTTTTCCAAACTCTAAATGTCCTTTCAATAACAACACATAAGGAGTGTCTCTTGTTGAACATTTCTCTCCTGTCTCGAGTGATATTGTTAGCTCTCTTAAAGTCAGGTATGTGATATTTCATATCAGAACAGGGCTTCAAATACCCTCTTTGTAACGGATATCCAACATTTATCAAATAATATTTATCTGACAATAATACAATGATTAGTGTTGTAGTAAGAACAATATCTAACTAGTTCGATCTCAAGCAAAACTTGAAATGGATGAGGAAAGTTGTATTTCTTTGTTCGTGTTGCAAATTACAAAAATTTGACTATTACGTGCACTGCCCTCCCAACCCACCATGACAAAAATGAAGCACATGTTGAAATTACATACATTCATGACATTCTGTGTTGGTGAATTGCATCGCCCGATGAATGCGATCTTCTCATTTTTTGGAACACGTGAATCCACTTGTGTTTCATCGATTGCTCCAATAGAGTTTCAAAAAGTTAAATAAGGTTAACTAAATTAGTATATTTATTTGAAAACTGACCGTAATAAATAAGTAATTACCTGAAAATATGACATATACCGCGCGTCATGCAAAATTTTTATGGGAGCCCTTTCGAATGTTGGGTCAGTTGGTTTGACGACTTGTGATAAAAACTGACTAATTCATTCAACCCAACCAAAAAATACCACCAAATTGTTTCAGATGAGTGGTTGAATCGCTCCATGACTCCTCTCATAGATTCCTTCTGTGATAATATATAGATGATTATTGCTAAGGCCTCTCGTGAAGTCATCCTAGAGGAGCCATGAAGTCCATGATTCCTATAGTTTCTCTAAGAGATCAATGAATACGAGTTGTCATACATAACATATTATTGAATTCTGTTGGGTAGCCTACAAACAACTCCCCAACCCACTTGTCAATAATGTACGGGGATGTCATGCAAGGAGAGTGTGTTATGTATGAATTATAATAATCACATATCAAACACACTGCAACTGCAATTATCTTGGTGTTCAGCATCCAAGTTTTCAGTCATGCCACCAAAACCCTGCCTCCCTAGGAGTGCATGCATCATTGCCCTTTGACACGACACCACCAAACATACGACCTAACTTCTCTTCCAGCTTAAGCTTGATGCCACCGTATTTAAATTTTTTCACATTTGCAACACCTACAAAATCATAGGATATGTTGATCCATCTGAAAAAAATTGAATATTTGATAAAAGCAGTAGACATTTCATAAATGTTCACCTCCAATCTCTCTACCCACCATTCCTCTGAAGCATCAATTGTTCACTTTATCAGATGTCAACCTAAGCCCGTGGATCCTCACTTCAATTCTTTCCAGGTTTTCCAATCCTTTTTTAGTTGATCCCATTTGTTTTTTTAACTGCAACATATCATATTCTCTGTCTGTGCTTTCCTTAAACTTTTAATAATATTATGCCAGCCCTCATTAAAATAGTTTGTTAGCCTATTTCCCAATTCGATCTTCTAAAGGCAAGTATCGTAAAATATTATTTTTGTATATATATCCCGCATAGTAGATAAACCGGCCCCTTTTGTCTCAATAATTATATTAATAACATAAAAAAAAATTAATCAATATAAATATTTTTCATAAAAATTATTTACCACAACTCAAAGAAAAATCACAATGTCATAATATCATCACAACTGTTTACACAACAACCTGCACACCACCTCCACACCACACCATTACACTACCTCCACATCTGCACACATCCATCTCCACACACCAACACATCCACAACACTACTACCACCACCTCTACACACCAACACCTCCACACACCAACACATCTACAACACCACTATCACCACCTCCACACACCAATACCTCCACAACACCAGTACCACCACCTCCACACACCAATGCCTCCACAACACCAGTACCACCACCTCCACACACCAACACATGGCTCATATACATTCAAATTAGTCAATTGTATTTCCAATTTATTGCACATGCAATCACCACCACCACCAACTTTCAGCCAATATAATCAACAAAATAGAGAAAATGGAAACCAAGTCCATCAAGAGGATGTATCATAAAGAACCCAAATCATCATCCGAGCATATCGTAGAGAATCCAAAAAAATCCCAAAATCCAACGTAAACTGAAAACCAATGAAGGAAGAGCACAGAAAACTCAGGAAAAGTATTGCACAAAAGTGTTTGCAAAATCAAAAACTATCGCATAGTCAAGGTAGAGAATATTTGAACAGAGGCGAGAGAAAGAGGAACCACCGCACAGAGGGCGGAGCCAATGAACCAAAAACCTAGCCGAATAATAGAGAAGAAAGGGAGAGGAAGAAT